TTATTTATGAGGTTTTTAATTGGATTTTACAAGAAATGAGAGAAATTTATCATGGTTATGATGTTTTTGAATTTGACTAATCTTTCTTGGGAAAATTTTTTAAGATGGTGTCACTTTAGAATTATCCTTATTATGTTTGGTTATTGAAACTTGATTTTAGGGTAGCTAGCCTTATAAATTTATAGGGCCATATGTATAGATGTGTGGTGTTTGTCATTTCTTGAACTTGGATAGGGGTGTGACAACTTTGACTTAAGACTAAGTGAGTGGCTGAAAATTTTGGAATATTTGAGACTTTATATCCAATTGATCTTGTAGGGATGTGACAATTTTGACTCAAGACTAAGTGAGTGGGTGAAGATTCATGAATATTTGACTTTGTATCTAATTGATTTTTAATTCCAAATTTTTCTTTATCTGGATATCATGTAGCTGCTATATTGCATTGGGATTTTGTGACTATATTCTTTAAAAACACTCGTGAGACACGACTCATCCATTAGGTTGACTTAGGAGTTTAAAAGTTTATTACACATGTTAATGTTAAGGGCAATCATAATTCTTACGAAAATGGGTTAAGTTTATTTTGCTTGAGAACTAGTAAAACTTAGTTTAGGAGAATTTGATGAGATGTATTTTCTATGTTTCAAGTTCTTATTTTAGCATTGGTTTTATTGATATTTGGAAGGGTAGAGGAAGGGTAGAATGTGATTTTTATGAATTTTACATAAATTTCATTTTTTGTGCAAAAAAAAAAACTTGAATACATCATAATAGAAGTTTCTAGATTTAAGTGTAAATCTTTTGAAAGTTAAGGGGAATATATTGCAAGGAGAAAAGTTGCCATCAGGGACTTAAATGAATGAATTCTAAGTCTTAGGATCAAAGTATTCCTCATGTCAAAGCTGAAGGACTAGATGTGCAATTGTGCAAAAAGATCCAAAAACTGGATACGGGTTGGGTGTACCACTTCTGTAAATGTCAACACCGTACAATATGACTTTGGTGAGATTAGGAGAAGAGGTGTCGACACTTACACTTCAGTATCGACACTTTATGCAGTTTATTCAAGACCATATTTTCGCAAATTGTGAGGACCAAGAAAGAGATGGTAATAAAAAACTCAATATCAAAAGATAATCAAGACTTAAGAGTTTATGTCCTTATATTGATCTTTCTTATTTTTAAATTTTGTTTTATAATGTTAAATATTTTTATATTCATCATAAAATATTTTTTTCTCCTTTTTTTCATTTTGAACTAATTTAGTCACCCATATGACAATAAGACCTAATCATTTTAATATAAAATTTTATAATTTTTATATTTTCAAGTCTAATTATTCCATATTAAATATGTATTATTATTTGCTTTTTAATGATTAACAACCCTTAAAATTGATTTGGAAAGCATGATTGAAATCAAGAGTAGATTTTATACAATAATTTCTAGTAATATATATTATAAATTAAACAAAAGTCAAAAATAGATTAACATGATTTGTGCAATATTGAGAAAGTATTAACTATGTTAAGAAAGCTTGCTATCACATGAATTTACAATAAATACCTTAGAAATATATTAATTTAAATTTTATATTAATTAAGTATGTTGAAATCAAATATCTTAAAATTTTAACTCTTGGTATCACTTTTAAGTTAATTTAGTTTAGTTAATTAATTCACTCAAATCTTTTAATTAATTTTGATACCTAATTAGTTTACAATTTTTATAAAATAATACTTAATTCTTATAATTATATTATTTAAAGTAGCTAATACTTTTGCTAGAGTAAAATTAGGGTTTAAATACCATTTTGGTCCTTCAACTTTTTACTTTAGCACCAAAATTGTCCCTCAACTTTAAAAAGTACCAAAGTTATCCTTAAACTTTTATTTTCAATACCAAAATGATCATTCCATCAGTTAAATAGACGGTTGGCACGTTAAATGCCACAAAATCACTGTATTTTTTAATCTTAATTACGTGTAAATTCCAACAAAGAAAATTTTACATTTTTTATTATTGTTTCACAATTTTTCAACCCAAAAAAAAAAAAAAAAAAAACTTCATCTTTTTCCTCCTTTTCTCCTTCCACAGTTTTACCTCCTCATTCTCTATCAACCTTCCTCCTTCCTTTCCCTGCTCATCCTTCTTTTTTCTTCTTCTTATTCTTTTTCTCTCTCTTCTCCTTTCTTCTTCCTCTCCAAATCAAACCCAGATCTGGGTGTTTAAGTCACACAAAGAAAAGTGCACGAACATTCATAGAAGCTATGGACCTCTATGAATTGCAATGACGTCTATTTTGTAGATCTCGAAACCCTATCTTTTCTCTGTGTTTAAAGATTCTTGATATTATTCTCAAGATTCTTCTTTGTTTCTCTCAAGAATGAGCTTGCCACTGGTGAGAGCTTCATTTTTGTTCAGTTTTTTTGAACTCTTATGGTTGATTCTTGGTCTTGATTCTGCTACTTTTCTTGATCTTGTTGGAACTAGAATTCTTTGTTCTCTTTAAACCAATTCTCGCTAGTTTTTGTGTTGATTTCGTCGGCATTTTGCGTTCTAGTTTGCTACAGATCAAGTCTTCGGTGGTTCTGGTACTGTTTCTCTTTGATTTATTTGCATCCATGTGATTTGACTTGGTTCGGTGAAGTTCGAATGCGTATTTGATGTTTTTTTGTTAGACTAATTTAGTTTCGCTTTTGTTGCATTTTAGTTGTGTTGGAGGAGTCATCTAGGTTTGAGAAAAACCCAGATCTAGGTTTGATTTGGAGAGGAAGAAGAAGGAGAAGAGAGAGAGAGAAAGAATAAGAAGAAGAAAGAAGAAGGATGAGTAAGGAGAAGGAAAAGACAAAGGAGATGAAGTTTGAGAGAGAACCAATATTTGGGTTTGTAGAAGTAAGGGAAAAAGAAAGGTAAAGAAGAGAGAAAGTGAAAGAGGAAGAAGAGATGATATGGATGGAAAAAAAAAAATCATTATTTTTAAATTAAATAAAAATACCAACTCATATAAAAAAAGATGACCAATTTTTTTTTTCCATGTCATTAGTTAAGAAAAAAGGAATTGATTTGTTGGCAAGTTAACGTGCCACCTGTCCATTTAATTGACGGAAGAACCGTTTTGGTACCAAAAATAAAAGTTTAAGGATAATTTTGGTACTTTTTAAAGTTGGAGTGACAATTTTGGTATTAAAGTGAAAAGTTGAGGGACCAAATAGTATTTAAACCTAAAATTAGCTCATCAATGATCAATACTTTCAATAAACCTCGCTGAAAGTTAGAGATTAATTATTGAGAAATATGATCAACACCTACACATACCCTAAGCTAAGAGCACATAATTTTGGCAATGTTTTCCTTATTAATGACTTCACTTGCACAAAATACAAAGCAAAAGCAATGACACATTTAATTGTAGGTTAAAGCCAACTATAGTCCTTCTCCTTTAAATTTTTGTTCATTACCCTGTCTATACTACTATCCTCCTCTTGCTTTTATTTTTCATTACATTTACCTCCTTCACCTAACTCTGTTTATAACAAAATAAATATCTATCATTAAGTGCAATACTTATATTTTTCTTTCATTGAATTCTTGTCATGGGCCCCCATAAAATGCCATGTCAGTAGCATATATTATTAGCAATAATAACCAGATCAACAAGAAGTAGGTGCCAAATCATGGATTCTTTTTGCTTAGTGCTAGACCTACCATCATTTTTACTCTTGTCATTTTTGCAAGGACTAAAACTCTATTAAAACCAAGATCAACTCTACTTCAACGTCTTGATTAAGGTTAAAACACTAATTTGGTCTTTCTACTTTCAAATTTATATCAAAATTGTCCCTCAACTTAAAAAATGACCAAAATTGTCCCTAAACTTTAATTTATGATACTAAAATAATCCTCAAACTTCAAAATTAATACCAATTTAGTCCTTAAACTTGAAAGACAAGTATCAACTTAGTCCCTGAACTTTAATTACAAATACTAATTTGATTTTTCAACTTTGATTATATATCAATATGATATATAAATAAAAATATATTATGGTGGCAAAAAATGATTATTTAATTTTACACATTATTAGTATTTAAAAAAAAAAAACTGATTTTGTAGCAAAATAAAGAGTTACGAGACACTTCAGTTAACATAAAGGCCTTTTTTGTATTAAAAATTAAAATTTAAGGACAATTTTAGCACTATTTGAAGTTGAGAGATAATTTTGGTACAAATCTGAACGTTGAAGGCCCAAATTGGTATTTTAACCCTTGATTAGCCATTTATCTCCTTATTTCATTTGAGCTTTCCCACCAAAGATAGATACATCAACAAATCTATACTTCAACTAAAACTTAAAATTTGTTAATCACCTCATAACTCCATCTTAATGATTCCTTCCTTTCCATTTCTTATAACCAACTAAACTAGCTTAACTATCACTTAAAAACTCACCTACTAGCAAGATGAAACGAAGGTAGAACCGAGTCTATATAAGAGGGAAATCAAGCCTTAACAAGCTGTCAAGAGCAGCTCAAAAACGAGGTATTTAAGTTGAAATAGTGCCAAATGAAGTAAAAAACAAAGTAGGAACAGTCAGCTTTTAGGCCAAAAAAAAAAAAAAGCAGCTGTACAGGTGAGATTTTTGGCTTCAAAACAGTAGAAAACATGCCTAAACAGACCAGATTTTCTAAGCAAAAACAGCAGCCAGATGATGGTCCAAAACATGCTAAAATTGCTGTTGAAACCATGCTGAATAAGTGGAAATAGAGTAGAAAACAAAACAGATTTTCTGGGCACGTTTAAGTACAAAAATAGCAAAGTTTTGGTGATAGAAGGGTAGAAAAGACCAGCCATACATAACTAAAAATCTGAACTGTTCTAGGTTGTTTTGTACATGATTTAGGTGTAGAAATTTACATGAACAGATGTTTTTGCAGCATAAACCTGAGCAAAACAGTGCATAAATTTAACAGTAAAAACATATAATTTCAGAGGCTAAACAATAGCAGAATTTAGTGCAGAATCGAGCAGATGTCAAGATAAATGGTGAGGGGTAAAACAAGCTAAAACCGAGCAAGCTTGGAGACCAGAAAACAGCAGACAATGCACAGAACAACAACAGCAAAATAATACAGAAAACAAGACAGAGATCGAAATGAAACAACAGCCGAATCACAAACCATAACAAGGAAAAACCGAGGCTTAACTAGGTGTATACAGAGCAGAATTTCAGACCATATAAAACCAGACTTTTTAGTAGCGAAATCACGCAGCAAAGATCATTAAAGTCACGCATAAACAACAGAGTTTTCAAGGGGTTCAGATCTGTAGCCCTTACCAAAATATCTCCAGTCCAAAAACACCAATACAAGGGAAAGATTAAGCGTAGAATTCGAGTAGAAGAAACCATAATTTTTCTGCATAAAACCGGGTTGATTCGGGGGAAGAACATGATTAAAAATGGTTGCCATGGCATGAATTCATTGGAAGAAGAAGAGAACTTTGAGAAGCTTGAGAATCTTACCATTTGGTAGAGGAATTGAAGAAATGGAAGGGCAGCTCATGACTTTCAGAGAGAAGGGAAATGATGATCTCTAGAGGCATTCACATTGGTTCCCAGGTGAGTAAAGATGACGGAAGGTCTAGGATTAGGCGGGAAGAATCCATGATTTGGCGCCCACATCTTGCTGATCTGGCCAATGTTGCGGAGGATCTGCGCTGCTGATATGGCATTTTGGGGGCCCAAGATAGGAGTTCAAGAAAAGAAAAAGAATAAAGTATTACACTTAATGGTGATAATCAAGGTTGTCAAAATCGAGATTTTACCTAAAATCGTTTTGGCTAGATGAAATTGAAATCGTAAAATCGAATCGGTAAAATCGAAATTTTACAAAATTTAATATATAATATATAATAAATTATATAAAATCAAAATTAAATAACAATAA